CTCTGTTTTCTCGGTTCTCTTCATTCTCTCCCGATTCTCTCTGTTATCTGCATTCTCTACACTATCTTCTGATTCTCCCCATTTTCTGTGTTTTCTTCACTTTCTCTTGATTCTCTTAATGTTCTGCGTTCTCTTCTCTTTCCTGATGCTCTGTTTTCTGCATTCTATTCTCCCACTTCGCTTTTTCTGTGTTCTCTTCATTCTCTTTCGATTCTATTTTCTGCATTCTCTTCACTCTCTCCTAATTTTCTGAGTCATCTTCTCTCTCGTGATTCTGTTTTCTTTGTTCTCTTTCTGCAGATTTTCTCCATTTTCTGCGTTTCATCTCTCCTGATTGTCACCCTTTTCTGCGTTCTCTACACCCTCTCCTGGTTCTCTCCGTTTTCTGCATCCTCTTCTCTCCATCCAGATTCGCTCCATTTTCTCTCTTCTGTCAGTTACTCCCGATTCTCTCCATTTTCTGTGCTCTTCTCTCTCTCCTGGTTTTCTTTATTTTCTGGGTTCTATTCCACTTATTCTTTCCGTTTTCTGCATTCTTTTCTCACTCTCCTGATTTTCTCCATGTTCTGTGTTGTCTTCTCTCTCTCCTTATTCTCGGTTTTCTGCATTCCCTACACTCGCTCCTGATTCACTCCTTTTTCTGCATTCTCTTCGCTCTTCTGATTCTCTCCATTTTGTGCGTTCTCTTCACTCTCCTTTTTCTCTAAGTTTTCTGAGTTCACTCTCTCCCAGTTCTCTCCGTTTTCTGCATTCCATTCACTCTCTTCTTATTCTCCGTTTTCTGCATTCTCTCCTGATTCGGTATTGTTCATTCTCTTTTCTCTCTCCTGATTGTTTTCTGCGCTCTCTTCTCTCTCCTGATTCTCCATTTTCTGCATCATCTTCTCTTTCTCCTGATTCTGTTTTCTGCATTTTCTCTTCTCTCTCCAGATTCTGTTTTCTGCATTCTCTTCTCACCTGATTCTCTCCATTTTCTGCACTCATTTCACTCTCTCCTGATACTCTCCGATTTCTGTGTTCTCCCACTCTCTCCTGATTCTCTCCATTCTCTGTTTTCTCTCTCTCCTGGTTCTGTTTTCCATGTTCTGTTCAGTTACTCTTGATTGTCTCCGTTTTCTAAGCCATCTTCTCTCTCTCCTGATTCCCTCCACTTTCTTCATTCTCTTCTCACTCTTCTGATTCTCTGTTTTCTCCATTCTTTACTCTCTGCAGATTTTTCTCCGTTTTCTGTGCTTCACTCTCTTCTGTCTCCTACATTTTCAGCGTTCTTTTCTCTCTCCTGATTCTATTTTCAGTGTTACCTTCACTTTCTCCCAATTCTCTCCATATTCTGCATTTTCTAGACCCTCTCCTAGTTCCCTCCGTTTTCTGCATTCTCTTCTCTCCATCCAGATTCTGTCCGTTTTCCCTATTCTGTTCAGTTACTCCCGATTCTCTCCGTTCTCTATGCTCTTCTCTCTCTCCTGATTGTCTTCATTTCCTGAGTTCTATTCTCTCCCCTTATTTTTTTCTATTTTCTGCATTCTTTTCTCACTCTCCTGATTCTCTCCATGTTCTCCATTCTCTTCTCTCTCTCCTTATTCTCTCGGTTTTCTCCATTCTCTTCACTCTCTCCGGATTCTCTCCGTTTTGTGCATTCTCTTCACTCGCCTTTTTCTCTGTTATCTGAGTTCTCTTCACTCTCCCAATTCTCTTCATTTTCTGCATTCTCTACACTCTCTCCTGATGCTCCCCATTTTCTCTGTTCTCTTCACTTTCTCCTGATTCTCTCCATGTTCTGCATTCTCCTCTTTCCTGATTCACTCCATTTCCTGCATTTTCACTCTTTTCTGATTCACTCCTTTTTCTGAGTTCTCTACACTCTCTTCTTATTCTCTTCATTTTCTGTATTCTGTGTTCTTTCCTATTTCTTTTCCTTTTCTGTGTTTTCACTCTCTTCTGATTCTGTTTTCTGCATTCTCTTCACTCTCCTGATTTTCCTTGTTTTCTGCATTCTCTCCCTCTCTCTCCTGATTCTCTCCATTTCCTGAGTTCTCTTCACTCTTCCAATATCTCCGTTTCATGTGTTCTCTTTCCCTTCTCCCGATTCTCTCTGTTTTCTGTGTTCTCTTCACTATCTTCTGATTCTGGTTTTTTGTTTGTTTGTTTTTTGTTGTTTTTTTTTTGTTTGTTTTGTTTTTTGCATTCTCTTCTCTCCTGATTCCATTTTCTGAGGTATCTTCAGTTTCTTTTGATTCTCTTTTTTCTGAGTTCTGTTCACTCTCTCCTGATTTTCTCCATTTGCTGCATTTTCTTCACTCTCTCTTGATTCTCTCCATTTTCTGCATTCTCTACACTCTCTCCTCATTATGTCCGTTTTTTGCATTTTCTTCACTCTCTCCTGATTCTCTCCATTTTCTGTGGGGACTGTGGGATAATTACACACAGCTGGAGGGAAGTGGGGCCAGCTTCCTGGTTCCTGGACCACCCAGGTACCGAGTTTTCATTCATTGTCAGGGGATTCTGCAGGGGGGGCTGGAGAACAAAGTAACATTGGGAAACCCAGGTTTTAAGAAAAGGCTCCAGATTCACCCCAAGCCAAAACTTCCCTCACCTTCTCCCCCAATACCTCCAAGCCCTCTGTAGTTGGAACAGTATGAGTCTGGAACCAGACACTTTCTGGGTGAGCTCTTTACCATTTCTGAGGTTTGGTTTCCTGCACCTATAAAATGGAAGTAATGATATTACCTAACTTAGAATGTTGCCATTATGTACATACTATGCCTGGCTATGCTTCTTACTTCAAAAATCTCCAATGACTCTCAGCTGCCTAGGGGGTCATCAACTCCAAATACTGAGCATGGATTTAAGGGAGAAATTATCCATTTTATTTTATATTCAATTGACCCTTCTTCAGATAGATTGAAATTGCTTTCAGAATGACAGAAATAAAGAACAATGCCCACATAATGGGTTCATGATCTGTAATGTGACCTATACTAGCTCTCCGCCTGTACCCCGGAGGTACTTGGCATGGGTACTGGTATTGAATAGCAGCTGAACATGAGTACCTGCCACGTGCCCAACGTGTGCTGAGCACGTCACACATACCAACTCATTTCATCTGTGGTGTTCCAGTAAACAATTAACAATTAGCTGGGGGGGAGGGGTGAAGGGTAGTGTTGGGGGGAGTCCTGATGTGTATGTAGCCTTTGCTAATTGCTGATTTCCATGGTGTAAATACTCTCACCATAGTTGACTTCAAGCTACAGATCTGCCAGTACCGAGAGCCAAGTGGAAAGAGGTGCTAACCACGGGCTCTCAGGAGGCTGCGTCAGCACGCTGATGCTTGGAAGAGACCCGAGGTTTACATTAGATACTCCAGCTCCCATGAGATGACTGGGGCTAGTTACTAGGTGATTTGTATACAGTAAGAATGGAGGGAGGATAAAGAGGGTGGAAAGGAACCTAACACAAGCCCAAGACTCAGTGCTTCCTTAGCAGCATCCTTCCTTCAGAAGACGCCATGTGACAGTCCTTCAAGTCACAGGCTCATTATTGCTTTCCTTTGCTGTCTAAGGTTAAATTCCAAGCCCCTGATTACAATGTTTCAGCGGGGTCTTTGCTAGTCCTTCTTTTCAGGAGGAATTGGGAAGAGGTCCTACTCTGGACTGCATGTACCAATTTATATGTTGAATCTCCCACCCCCAATTTATATGTTGAATCTCCAATGTGACGGTATTAGGAGGTGGGGACTTTAGGAGGTAATCAGGCCCTGAGGGTGAATCCCCCATGATGGAACTGGTGTTCTTTAAGAACAGAAGGAGCTCTTGTCCATGTGAGGACACAGTGAGGAGGGCCCTCACCAGACACCACATCCCCAGAGCCTTGATCTTGGACTTCCCCGCTTCCAGCCTTGAGAAATCCACGTTCTGTATACGCCAGTCTATGCTATTTTTGATAAAACAGCCCAAAGTAAGACAGCTTCTCTCTTGCATGTGCTTTAGGAGGGCTCCTGCCTTTTGAAAATAAACTGTTTTACTTGACTATGCTTTTTTTTTTTTTTTTCCCCTCACCCGAGGACATTTTTCCATTTTTTGTACAGACAGAGTGGGAGGGAGAGAGAGGAAGAGAGAGAGAGAGAAACATCGATGTGAAGGGACACATCGAGTGGCTGCCACCCGCACGACCGACCAGGGCCGGGGACAAACTGCAACCGAGGTACGTGCCCTTAGCGGGAACCGAACCCGGGTCTCTCGGGACCACAGGCCGACGCTCTAACCGCTGAGCCAAACTGGCCAGGGCTAAAACCCAATTCTTAACCACTGTTTAGACAAGTACCAAAAGCCAGCTAGCCCGAGAGCCACCTGGGACTGCACCACCCGTCGGATGCTTAGACCTGCCTGACTCCAGGATCAAACATTTGCTCCCTGCCTCCAGCCTTGCTGGAAATGCATCCCGACCCTGGGGGAATGGGGTAGGAGTGTGACGGTCAGTCCCACACAGCCATCACACCCACTGGAGACAGGCCAGACCTGTGTCCCGAATCTCTGATATTACCACTGTATGTAGAAATATCAAACACCATTAGAGTCCAAAGGGACCTTGGAAATCATTTCTCAATTTCTTCTAATAAAAAGGACAAATAAATTGTACTGACGGCCAAGTTTATCATTATGGTTCTCTCCTCCCTCTAGACCAGTGGTTCTCGGCCAGGGATCCTTTTCCCCTCCAGGGACATTTGGCAAAACTGGAGACATTGGCTGTCAGCCTGGGTGGGAGATGCTCCTGGCATCGAGTGGGTAGAAGGCAGGGAAGCTGCTAAATGCCCTGCGGTGCACAGGACAGCCCCACGACAAACAGTCTCGCCCCAAATGTCCACAGTGCCGAGGCTGAACAACCCTGGTCTGTGCGTAAAAAACTTTCCCCAAAACTAAACGTATGGCATTCTTACTCCCAGAAGAAATCATATCCACAAATCATATTTTATTAGCTGTCCAATGCCACCTTCCATTCATGTGTTTAATTAAATTGTATGAACTACCAGTACAAATCAATACAATGCATTTTTTTTAACACACCAACAGCTTGAATGTTCTTGAAGCTTTTAAACAATGGCTTGACTGAGGGCAAACAGAAGAAATTAGAGAGATAATTAGCTCATGCATCTGGTGCTGGCTAATAAATAAATAATTTCCACATGAATGTAGAAAACACTCAATGTTAACTGTATTTATTTTTTTTAATAGTTGGAACATGTAATAAAATGCAATTTTCAGAAGCATCTTGGTAACTGAGTAGAACTGCTTCACTTAAAAAATAATAAAGTTACTTCCCCCTAGACTCCGGTGGGTGAACATGTAGCAAAATCTCCCATCCCATGAGACTCCGGCAGATGGAGTGATCTTTCACAAATGCATTTTGCTGCAATTATTCTCATGGTAACCAGAAGCCAGGAAGAGCACCCTGCTTCGAAAAGAGATTGTTTGGTTCACACAGTGTACTTTGGCTTATTTAAACAGGTGAGAAAGTAGTCCTCAGTTCTCCCAAGGGAAAAATGTGTTTTCTGGCTTTTAAATAAATCAAGTTGCCACCAGACTGAATGGGTTTCCCTTTCTGTTAAGGTAAAAAAGTATATATTTTTTCTCTCCCTCCAGTGTTCAGTTGCTCCTCTTCTGAAATACTCTTCAGATAAAGTACTTCATGTCTTGATCCGTCAGTGGCCTTCCAGGTAAAGGTCTGACATAGAGCCTGGCAGGGTTGGCATCTGGCAGGTCCTCGGACGTGGGCATCAATCTGATGCTCTGAACGGCAAGTTCTCATATGCATCTAGAAGTATCTTCTTAAAAAAAGATGAGAGTGTATGCTAACTTGTGCTCTCTCTAATAAGGCTTGCAAATAGGTCATTAAATAAGCAAAATATAACTCATAAGCAAAAGAAAAGTGCATTTAAAAATAAAATAAACAAATGGAGATGGTTAAAACTACAACCAAAAAGATGATATTATTTTTGGTTTATCTGGGGGGAGGGGGTAATGACACACAGTTATGGTTTCTTTTCTTTTTTAGTCCATTTGGTTTTGCTTAATATACTCACAAGGGCTGTCATGAGGGTATCTTTGAATTTCCCACGGTCTCCTCACCTGCCTTCTGTTGTTTAAGCATCCCTAGACACCAGAGCGCTACTGATACAAGCATTCATACGGGGAGAAACCTGCCTTCCGTTCTAATGAACTTTTTACAAAACTGGTCTTAGTTCATAAATATTTCAATGAGCATAGAAAACAACCTATCTGACTTTGCTGCAAACACAAACAAAACCTCCAGGCCATCAAGCTTACAACCTCACTACCGTTCTCCTTCCTCAGATATTGCAGGAACCATTTGGGCTGCTTTGGCAGACAAAGTGGCAGGTTTTAATTCCTGGTGCGTAAACCCACACAGGCAGAAATTGGAGGCTCTCTCCCCTCATCTTTTACTAATCAGTCAACTTCTGTTTTTGCCCTTTATGAAAATCTTGTCCTTGTTGCAGCCACCCGTCAGGTTAATTGCAAAAGGGAAAAAAGGAAAAAGAAACATCTCCCCGCAGCTCTCCCTGGGAGTTCATGTTTTCTTGCTGCTTGTCTTCTGTCTCTGTTTGCGAAGGTGAGCCTCAATCTCGTGCCTGAACACCAGCATGCCCAGCTGCCCGTGGGAGGCCTCGTTCATGGCCTTGGACTGCATGCACATCCGGTACTGCTCGGGGGTCAGCTCGTCCACACAGCGCTTCTCGTGCCACAGGTGGAAGAGGCCCCGCACCGGTGTCCGCACCACTATGAGGTTGCTGTGCAGGTACTTGCGGTACAGGTGCACGTCCTCTCCGCCCCAGCCTTTGATGTCCAGATCAAACCCACCTGCCAGGAGAGAACATTCTGCTGAGTCATCTCGACGCATCTCCTGATCTATACGTGCCTTCCTGAGCTGCATGAAGGCAAGCATTTAGGGGAGAGTGTTTCACTGACCCTACAAATTACGTGTCTATCCAGTCAGAGGACAGAGGACCTGCATGGCCCCCGGCACCAACCAGCTCCTGGAGAGGACAGGGCTGCAGCAGAATCCCCAGCCGCTGCCTGCCTTCAGGAGCTGTCAGCAATGCTAACGGTGAGCCCAGCCTCCCACTAAGAGCTGCAGGGCACCCTCCCCTCAACCGGGAACCTCCCAATGAAAACACCTGCTTTTCTGTTTGAATGGGGCCTCCTCCTGCCCCTTCACATGGAATAAACCGGAGGAGGCATGCAGAGTGAAGGAGTAAAACAGGATCTCAGCGTGAAAAAATCACATCCCACAAAAGCACTCTTCCTTTCAGAGAAACTAATGTGGTCCCCAAAAGCTGGTGAAATGACTCATGTTAAAGGGACCGGTCCCAGTCAGTTTGGAAGTTCTACTCAGAAAACCGTGTTTCACGGAGGAGTGGACTGCTTCACAACGTAAGTGATGGTCCCCAAACTCTCACCTTTGTACATCAAGATCCCCCAGGTTGTTTCTTAATCTAAAGCCCACCATGTCTCAAGTAGAGCCAAAGAAAACTGCCCTCTTGTTGTCATTGCTCCTGTCTCACCTGGGAGAGTTCTCCTGCTCTCATAAGAAACAGGCAGGTGATTCTCAACATCTTTTCTCAGTTACATGCAGCCCTTCTGTCCCCTGTGGCCCCCAAAGCACGCTGCTCTGATCAAGGCTATCGCTGGATCCGGAGCAGAGACTCCCCAAACACAGGGAACCCACATCCACCCACCCACCCCTGGGCCGTGTATATGAGTGATCTGAGGGGCCCCGCCCCCCAACAGTGTGCAAGCAGAAACCATTCTGAGTCAAGGGTCTGGAATTTGAGTCTTGGTTCTCCTCCAAGCTTCCACTTTAGCTCTCTTGAGCTTTGGTTGCTTTATCCTGAAATGAAGTAGGTGTCATAACCAAATGAGACAGTAATGTAAGGGACAGTGCTTGGTCAGCTGTAACTGATTTACCATTCCCACTGGTATCATCACAACGTGTTAAGTAGAAGTTGCACAAGTATATGACGCTTGCAAATTAATACACGATTGAAAAGAATGACTGGGGGACAGATGTAACTCAAAGATTCATTCTGTGGTCTTAACAGCTTACTGAGCAACAGCACCCTTCCCAGCCTGCCACTCCCATGTTTTTCGATTATAGCTATGCCCTATCTTTAGGGAAAAAATGTATTATAAGCCCAAATTTGATAAACATACATCACCACAGAATAATCTCTCCCGACATATAAAGCAAGAAAATAGCTTCTTGAAATGGAAATCTCCTTTAGAAATTTAAAAAAATATGTCACTTTTGGAAATTGATTTGCACGAAATCACATAGGATTACATTTTTAGAGAAATCAAAGCACACCTGTGGCTCACTGCCGGTTATCGGAGGGCACCCGCCACTCAGAGACCGACATCCTGGGCGCTCTGCGGCTTCTGACAGGGCTTGACTGCAGGTTGTTTGCTTTTTCTTTTTAACTGGTGATGTCTGTGGTTTCTGTAGTCCCTGTAGACTACTCTACTTCTGAACAAAATCCTGGGGCTGCTGAACAGACTCACTGATCTTTAAAGGGAAGCTTTAGACCCAGCTGGTGTGACTCAGTGGACTGAACATCGCCCCATGGACTGAGAGGTTCTGGTCTGATTCCCACTCAGGGCACATGCCCAGGTTGTGGGCTCGACCCCCGGCAGGGAGAGTACAGGAGGCAGCCAATCGATGTATTGCTCTCACACCAATGTTTCCATCTCTCTCTAAAAAATAAATTTAAAAAACATTTTTTTAAAGGGGGAAAGCTTTAGGCGTTGGGCCAGAGGAAGAGTGGAGCAGGAGAGCAAGGTGAGCAGGCTCTGGGAGGCCCCAGGGAGACGGTGGAGATGGGAGTTGCCACACGGTGTGAGGACAAAACCTCCCAACTCCATCCTGCTTGGGGGCCACCCTGAGCCCAGTCCCCAGATCAAGGTTTCTGACCTGTTCGCTGACTCCCTAGTCATGTATAACCCACAATTCTACCCCCTCCAGAGGCACATCAGTTAGAACCACCACGGGGACAGTGTGTGGAATTTCCAAGAGGGGGCAGCAGACACTCTGTTCTCATCCTGACCATGTCCTTCACTTTGCCCCTGACAGCCTACGTGTCCTCAACTGCAACCTAAGGGCCTTTCCTGTGTGTGCTCTGGGAACCTGCGTGTGTGTGTGTGTGTGTGTGTGTGTGTGTGTACACAGTGACTGTACATTCAGAGCTTCAAGTGACATCTGGACTTTTCGAAGGTGCAGCAGAGAGAAATCTGGATCTTTCCTGGTGTGTGATTTTCCAAAATTCCCCATGTCACCCTATTTTTTTAATGGAGTCCCCCTGCTGTGGAGGCCCAGGATGTTCATGACGGGGCGAAGAAGCAGGCTGGGTTGGAAGGAGGCACTGGGGGAGTTGCTTCAAACCTGTGTTTTTATAGGAGTGGCCTTTACTCTCCAGGTGCAAGCCTTATTTGGGATGATTGAGCAGTACAGGTGGAGATTATAGGGGCTAAAGTGCCAAACACCGCAAGTCCATGGTAAGAGGAATGAACTTGAACGGCCTTTCCTTAAGAAGTGGCTGACCCGATTCCCTCATGGCCCTTCACTGGCCTCTAGGTGGCAGTAGAGATGCAGACTTGTTGCAAGTGGATTAGTCTTACCTATATTGATGAAGTCTGACCGATACTGACATGTCATCCCAAATCCGAAGTCTCTCCAAAACCCAGTTTCCTTCTTTATGACCTGCAGGGAAAGCACTTCATTTGAGGGGGAAGGACAGAGTGGATAACAACAAATAGAGACTCTTCAAAACCTCGCCTAAGCACTGTTAAATAGCGAGCCCACCCCAGCACTGATAAATAGCCACAGCGCTATGTGGGAACTGCAGATGGACTGTAGTCCTTTCAGACAGTTAGGAATAGTCAGCTCACCAGCCCCAAAACAGGGCCTTGTGATTTTTGGCAACTCTGGCTGGAATGTTTCTAGGGTATAGGCATGGAAACACACACTCACACACACACACACACACACACTCAAAAACAAACCGGACAGCAAGTTTTTGAGCCGCGCCATGGAAAAGCCACCTACGTGTCTGGCCCAACACCAGTGCCAGCGAGAACTGGAGGCCTCGGCCCCTCACACAGGGCCGGGCTAGGAGCCAGCAAAGGGCTCAGGAAGTTGAGAAAAGGGATAGAGAACAACTCAGAATTCAGCTGCCCTGGCACAGCGCACAAACAGGACTCCCTCAGGCAATAAAAGGAAAACCCGAGACTTCAGTGTGTGACCGGCTCTGCTCTCGCTTGTTGAGGAAAAGGCACTAAGAGTCCAGGTTATGAAAAAAGACTCTGTCCATTCATCTTTAAACTGTTTTAAAACCAAACGGCTCCAAAAAGCATCTGCAAATTGTTGCCAGGCTGCAGGGCTGCCGAGAGGCCATCCAAGCAGTGACTGTCTTCAAAAAGGGAGACCTGGCCCTGCCCCACCTCTTACTTTGCCAGCACATTTCCAATGTACTTGCTGAAGCTGCAAGGCTTCTAAAAAACTGCTTCTATATTTTTGGCTGAGGTAATTCTGGAAAGGGTTTTGGGACTCATTTTAATAGTTGTTTTTCATGATTCATTCCTGTAGTTCACAAAGGTGCTTCGGTGAAAGGCAGTCCCCTGGGTGGGGGAGGGGGGGTGGCTGCAGCGGGTCCCCATGCACTCTGACTTCTGCACGCTCGGTCTGGGACATCTGGCTCTAGATGCAGCCAATGAGAAAGAGCATGTGCTTGTCCCCCCTGGACAGCTGGCTGGCTCTTTTGCCTCAGGCAGGTCCCACACTTCTTCAAGCCTCCATTTCCTTTCCTATCAATGAGGAGATTGAGCTAAATCACCCCCAAGGTCTCTTCCAGCTCTCAGATCCAAACATTTATCCTATACTGTCATTTCACCTCCCAGAGGTTTCCCTTAATCTGTACCACGGGCTAAACTGAATTCGACAAATGGCTTGCAGAAGGGTTGATGAACCTGAAAACTCTTTTACTGCGTAACCTATGAAACAATCTTATGTTCACTACAACCCCCACAGGGTGTCGTCTGCACCACAGCTGGCACGCATCAGGACCGCCTAAGGAGAGTCCAGACCAAAGAGGTCCGATCGGTTCCTGTGGTCCCCAGCAATGCTCTCCAGTCCTGCTTCAGGACAAAGGCCTGTACTACTGTATCTCCCAAGAGACAAGACAATTTCATTAGTATCAACTGGAAAGATTTTTCGGGGCAGGAAAGTCAGAAAATATCTCCACTGAGTCATTTTTTTTAAATGCTTTCTGTTTCATCCCTGTCATACCAGGTACACTATTGCTGTTACAGCTAATGGCTTAACATCCTGTTTGATGGCCAGGCCGCAGACAAGTCCTCTATGCTTCTGGACAAAAATGGAGTCAAAGAGTCATCCAGTATCCAGACTTGAGATATTGGCTGAGGTCTGCATGGAATGTCAAAGAGACGCTCCTAAAGGGAAAACAATGGGTCTGGGCTTGGGAAGCAAGACAAAGGGGGTTTGCAAGAGTTAGCATCCCAGGACCGGGAGTGGACGTAGTGCCTGGCGAGCCTGCTCCAAGTGAAGCATGACCCTCAGCTGGGGACAGTGTGACAGAAACAAATGGATTTGTGGGCTGGGGAATGAGCTATATAAACTCTTATTAATGTTGGCAAGCCACAAAAAGCCCCTATCTGAAGAACTCATTGAAATGTAGCCCATGGTGGGCACTGATGCGATCGTGCCCACAGCAAATACTGTCAGGGCGAGATGGAGTGCACTTATTAGAGTTCACTTATTAGAGGCTCTCCCCCTCCCCGCTGTGCTGAGTCGCTAACTGGAGTGGAGCCCTCAAGGGGCAGCTTCGCTGGGAGTGAGCGCTCTCAAGTGTACATCAGATCCCGGCACGTTCCCATTTAAAGCCTTGCAGTGGTTTTAATTGCATTCTCTCTAATGCAATTAGAATAAAATCCACAAGGAAACCTCTAGTCTGCAAAGGCCCCATGTGACCTGGCCCCTGCCCACCTTGCCCATCCTATGTGCCTCTTATATACAGACTCCTTATAATCTGCCCCTTGAACGCACCAGGCTCACAGGTATCTACAGCTGGACACTTGCAGAAACCCCTCCCTGGGTCACCCTTGCCTTGCTCACTTCAATGTCATTGCTCAGTCATCATCCTGGCCCTCCCAACCACTGTCAACCCTTCCCACCCGTCACACTCTACTCCATCACCAGGTTTATTTTCTCTATAAACCAGGCTCTGAAATCATCCTATTGCATTTGTTTCTCTGGTAGCTGACTGTCTTCGCCCACTACCACTGGTGAACATAAGCTCAGGGCCTTGGTCTCGTCCATGGCTGTGTCTCCAGCACCTAGGCATTATTGTATCAATCAATACAATAAGTCACCAGTTAACATCGTTGATAGGTTTTAAGCCAAACAACGTATAACAAAACCAACATTACCATAGGCTAACTGATTCAAACAGGAGTCGAGTTCCTACGGCATCTCATCAACGTTATCATGAAATGATGTTGAACAAAATGACGTTATTTGAGGACCTGCTATACTTTTCCAATAAATGGATGAGGAGCCATCCTTGAGCAGAAACAAGGTCAAGCCAGAGGAAACAGACATGGTTCAAGCTGGGACCCTTGTTGGAGCATGGATCAGCGAAGGCCCAGGAATTCCAGTGCGAAAACCCACAGAACCGTGAAAAATATTTTCACCTTCCGGGGGTCTAAGCAGAGGCTTAACTTCGCAGAACCTTTGCTGCTCCAAGCATATGAAACTCCCCTGTCCTGGTCAAGCTTTGAAAAGATACATAACAGTGATGTCTAGAGGAGGAAGGAAACCCAAGATAAAGATTAGACTTTAAAAGAGAAACATCCCGCCCTGGCCAGTTTGGCTCAGCGGTTAGAGCGTTGGCCTGCGGTCCGGAGAGACCCGGGTTCGGTTCCCGCTAAGGGCATGTACCTCGGTTGCAGTTTGTCCCCGACCCTGGTTGGTCGTGCGGGTGGCAGCCACTCGATGTGTCCCTTTCACATCAATGTTTCTCTCTCTCTCTCTCTTCCTCTCTCTCCCTCCCACTCTATCTGTACAAAAAATGGAAAAATGTCCTCGGGTGAGGATAAAAAAAAAAAAAATTCATAAAGCCCTGGCCGGTTTGGCTCAGCGGTTAGAGCATCCGCCTGCGGTCCGGAGAGACCCGGGTTCGGTTCCCGCTAAGGGCATGTACCTCGGTTGCAGTTTGTCCCCGGCCCTGGTTGGTCGTACGGGTGGCAGCCACTCGATGTATCCCTTCCACATCGATGTTTCCCTCTCTCTCTCTTCCTCTCTCTCCCTCCCACTCTATCTGTACAAAAAAATGGAAAAATGTCCTCAGGTGAGGATAAAAAAAAAAAATTAAAAAAAATAAAATAAAAGAGAAACATCCTCTCCTTCTGTCCTGAATGTTCTGACCTGTTTTCAAGTGCTATCATCACTTTTCAAAATTTCTTTCCAGGGCTGGCTTCCTCTTAACTCCCTGAAGCACCTTGCTCTCCCACCTCAATCCCGCAGAGCACTGCAGGGCCTGACACAAGAAAGGACAGTCGTCAGGCCTGCCCTTCCACAGGAAGTTTCCAGACCCGCACCTCTGTGGGCGATTCATGTGATCCGGGTGATTATTTTCTCTTAGGACCAAAACACAAAGCACCAATCAGCGCCTCTCCCCAGAGACAAGAGAAGGTGGCCACCTGCAGCTGCGGGGGGCGGGGGAGGCCGGCAGTGTCTGTCTGCTTTAATTGCATGGACTTGGACAACTGCCCATGAAGCAATCAGGGCCCTCAAATAAAATATAAATAACATATACTCATGCAGAGCATTTCCTCCAAATACAAGAGAGCCTCCCAAGAACCGAGGTTGTGTCTGAGCAGCCTCAGGTTCACCGGAAACACCGAGTGGTGTCCATCGAGCTCATTTCTGCCCTCGTGGCCGGCAGGCAGGCAGGGTTCGGTCCACAGGCCCCTTGCTCAGAAGGCCTCAGGCCCAGTTTAATGCTCTGCTGCTGCCATCCTTACATTCTTACTAAGTTCCGAACAAGGACCCTGCATTTTCATTGTGTACTAGGCCGAGCAGGGTAGGCAGCCAGCCCTGGCCGTGAGGAGCAGACACCTTGAGCTTCAGGGTCTTCTGCGGCTGGGTGGGGTGTCGTCTGGCCCCCACGATGCTCTCCTCATTCTCTGGGCCCTGGGGGCTTGGTGAGCACCCAGCTTGGGATTCCAAGGGGCTGCATGTGGTTCACTCATGCATCATGGTAAGGCACAATGCCACAACAGTTTCTATTTCTTGAGAAATAAAATATTCTGGGGCCACAGCTTTCAAAGAATTGATTTAAGGACAAACTCAAATGTCACCTCCTCCAAGATTTGTGCTAACCCACATTTTCAACAAGTTGTCTTTTATCAGTAATGAGGATTAGACAAATGAAGTGTCTTCTGAAGGGTAGCCTACTGGACAAGGAATGGTCCAGGTTCCCCATGTTCTAAGGACCTGTAACCACAGACTAGACTTGGTGCTCCCTGGTGGCACGCTGAGGCCAAAGAGTGTGTCCACTCAGCATCCTAAGCCCTGTCTCCATCACGTGGTGGCATGTCTACTCCCGACCCTGCCACCTAGAAGTCTGAGCAGGTGACGTATGCCTTTGAACTTCAAGTTTTTCGTCTGTGAAAGGAGCATAATGATGCCTGTTCGCATGTAGCAGTGCTGTGTACGACATGAGATAACGCAGCACCCTGCTGGCTTACAAAAGATGCATAGATTGCACCTGCTAATGTTACTCCTGGTACTCAGTGAGTGTCTGCTTCCCAAATAAATAAAAGCAGACAATGCCTGGTCAGCAATTTTTAGAAGTTTAAACTGAAATGCAGTTTAGTGATAAATACTTTTTGGAAGTGGGTAGAGAAGTGAGGGTTTAATGAGGGAGAGGGAGAGGACAGGGGCCAGCATACCATCTGCACACTGAACACAGTGGCACAAGGTCATCAGATTTAAATGATGAGTGGGCCACATGGCAGACTGAGACGCTGAGTACTGTGGGCAGTAGACACGGTAAGGAGATGGCCCTGAGGTGGAAGGAGACGAGGAGACTCTGGGCAGGGTTCTCACCTGGCAGAGCAGATCTGTCGAGCTGGTACCCTGTGCCAGGTGCTGGGCTTGCAGACATTTTCTGTGTCATCAGTTTTAGAGTCAGTTTGTGGAGGATGGTTAATCTCAACAAGGAATCAGGGTTGCAGTGCTGTGCTAGGGGCCAGCCAGGATTGTGCCAAGTTTCTTCCCAAATCTGTGTTGCGTGCCACGGCATCAGTAGCCTGACCTAGGCCACGGCGGGGGAATTGACACCATGGGAAATGGCAAACGCTATGCGTTAGGGCCTTCCCCCCTTTCAGAGAGTGGGTTGTTAAGCATCTACTTACACACCACTGGCTTTATGCCTTAAAAGATTTTTTAAATAAAATTAATCTGCATTTTGGAAACGTGTCTCTGGCAGAGGGTGAAGGAAAGACTGAGTATAGAAGACAAAAGTGGTAAGAGGCTCTCACCATGGCCTCGGCAAGAACTAACGAGGCTTGAACCACAAAGTAGAATATTAATACTTTTTTTCTAAATGCTTACCCAAGGATATTTTTTCCATTTATCTTTTAGACAGAGTGGAGGGGAGGGGAGGGAATGGAGAGAGGGATCAAATCCATGACTCTTTGGTCCGCGGGCCGATGCTCTAACCACTGAACCAAACTGGCCAGGGCTGGAATATCAATACTTATTGAAATTACAGTCATTCCTTTCTCAGAGAGCTGCTTCTATAGTAAAGCATCAGCAAGTTTCATCTCAGGTATAAAACTCAAGAAAGTAAATATTCATATGAAATCCCATGATTTCACTTACTACTTATTACTAATAGTCCGTACTTGAAAGTAAAGAAACAAGTAGTCTGAACACACACACATCCACACAAACAAAACCATAAGTTTGGTTTCTTGCTTTGTCTGCAGACAGAATGTCATCAAATATCAGTGGCAATAGCCAGGAGAAGTAGTAACTAGCAAACTGACTATGAGGTCATATCTGCAGGGCTGCCGGAAAAAGTTGACTTTTGTTTGTATAAATAAATAACTTCTGTTACGGCAACACTGGGGATCTATGTTCTCCCTTCACCTTTGATACTGAGGTATTCCAGGAAGGCCATCAAGGATGCATTAATATAGATGCACCATATCTTTCTAGACTGAGCCAAAATTAACCCTTGGTAGGAAGTCTTTCCTAACTTATCCCTCTCTTATCATTACTTTTTATTTTATACCTCCTTAGCTCCTACACATTCTCTCTCCAGTACACTCATTTCTGTGGCTTGATGTCCTCCCTCGGAATTTCTGTCAGATCACTTCCTTTATATTTCAGCTCTCATCTAGATCCTAAGCAAATCTATTTCCCCTGCACTAGAGTAAGGAAATCCTCATTTTGGCCTGAGCTCTGCTACTAGCTGGCTGGCTGTGTGATCTTGGGCAAGTCTAGAGAGAAGAAGAGAGTCATTGAAATGATTTTGCAATCACTTCTGTGTATACAAAACTGTTTCAGGTCTCTGACTCCGCGACTAACACTTAAACTAGTTCTCTGTAAGCAGCCAGTACTCAAAAAATGACTCATCCAGTAAGGACACAATCAATACTTTACTTTTTTGGATGGAGACCTCTGCACCACACAGACAACTGCTGTGTTTCTCTGGACTAAACGGTCATAAACATTGAACCCCAAAAGATCAGACTTATGTGGTCTGGGAGAAGTCGAGCGTATATTTAGAAGTAACTGCTGAAGGTGGCAGGATAATTCACAGGTTCCCGTCGTGGGCACAGCAATGTGAGTTCTGTTTCTGGCTTGACCACTAATTCTGAGGCTCTGAGAATCTGGCTTCACTCTGCCATACCTCTCTCTGCCTTCCCTGCAGGAATGGTAATAACAGGATAAACTTTTAACCTGTGATATGAAAAGAATTCCCTGCAAGCAAATAAGGTCTTTAGGAGCTTAAAATCAAAACCTTAATCACACTTGATACAAAATGTAACACGGCACTTTATTTAAAATCAAAGAAACGTTTACTCTGTATCCCATTACCCCTCAGACCCCAGAAGCTTAGACCTCTTGCAGAATGGAAATAAGAAGTGTTTCTGCTCAACGGGGGTAGATAAAAATTGGTTTTGGGGGAGTGAAACACTTTACTGTGTTTATGTATAAAGTACATATTTACATACAGTTCATAAACAGACTGTCAGTATATCTGTGGTATCAGACTTTCATGGGGGGAGGGAAAGTTATATTATTACTGTAGTGAATGGCGTGGGTCCCCAGTGAAACCCTGCTAGGACGTGATCCTTGTCCAACCTGAAAGAACCCAAGCTGAAACTTTCTGGAACAGACCATCACATCACCGGCCAGAGGTTAATTGGAGTGGATATGACTGAAGAAAACAGGTTTTGCTACTTCTGGAAGCTTAAACACAGAATCCATCCTACAAAAGAATTTCCTAAAACACACATTTTCAGTGAAAGTCAGTTTACCCTCCCTTTGCACCGAAGCATGAGAAACTTAGTCTATCATATTTTCACTTTCACACAGCAGAGCCCCTTCCCCAGCCTACAAGGTGCTCATGGGAGGACACATGGCTTTGCCTCGCACAGGAGACCAAGCCACCCAAGCGGCGAAACACCGAAGCCCCCAGGTCAGATGCTCCCCTGAGATTCAGCTTGAGCTAGAACACAGCTTTAGACAAGCCCTGCTGATCTCTCTGCAGATCACAGCCCAGCTTGGGGAGTAACAACAAGAATGGGAAACTGAACCTCAGAGGGGCATGCCTGCCTGTGTGTGGCACAGAGACCCTCTGGCTTATCTCATCTTCCTGTTGCCTGCCCTGCTTCTCTGCTAAATGGACCGACTCCTGCCACCACCAGTGGAGACAACTCAGCTTACAGAGATCCTCGGTGGCTGTGTGGTTCCGCTCTCCACCACCTATGCAGCTGAGATCTTAGCAGAGAAGCCACCTTGCATGTGACATTGCTAATGCTCATGTCCACCCCAAGCCACTGTGAGATGTGGGAATGACAGCATGATGGGCAGGCACTGGATCGGGTCCCTGCTCCCCCACTGACTCACTGTGTGCTGGGGAGAGCCACCCCTTTCTGACTTCTGGTTTCCATCTGTCAAATGGGAACACAAATCTCACCTTTCTTACCTTGCAGGATTTGGTAATGATAAAGAGAAAATGTGCTGCATCCATAATGCAATAATACTAGTTTCCAAAGAACACGGAAGAAAACTAGGAAGGTGTGAAATTGCCTTTCTGTAAGGTACTGTTCCTATTTATTTCCCACTTTTAAATATTGCAAGCACTTTCAATCAACAAGGCACTGGGAGCAAAGGCCAGAACATCTGACAAACTTAAAAATTAATACAGGAATCAATGCACAGGTTTCCACTCACCTGTACTCATGGCCAGGTGCCCCTGCTAATGGAAGACATGGAGCAGAGTCCCACCAAGGCACCTGCAGGGTAATTACTCACCAGCTGCTGTTCCAAGGGAGGGACCGCATCGTGATGCCCATATATTATTCCAGGATTGTACTGACTGAAAAGGACTGGGTAAAACACTTTCTTCCCTGCAGAACAGAAAGCAAACTTTGGCTGAAAACAACAGATAAAACTGTGAGGGTTGTTCACGTATACTCAGCCCTCAGAACGACCCCCAACATTCACAGACACTTTTCCTTTTCCTTCTCTTATGTCTAAAACAGATCTTAAAGTTCCGTGCTGGGTGGACCAGATGCCCAGGCTCTCAGATATGTCTGGCCTCTTTAGCTTGGAAGTGTTATCCAAAACATTGACAGTCAGTGGCTCTGGCACTGGGCATCAACCAATGAAAGTGGGTGTGAAAGGCAGTCCTGATGCCTTCTGCCCTGCCAGACATGGACCCGTTAACTGCTGGCTCGTGGGGCAATCTGAAGGGTTGCCAGAGACCAGGGTGATTTCAGGTAGCAGGAGTAGACAAAGGGGGAGCCTAGGGTAGTTACACTTTACCAATTTACATGAAGTGTTTCAATATTTTAACAACTGACATGCCCATTCAGTAGTCACCAGCTGAATACCAGTCTTGCCTACAAGTCAAACTCTATGAAAGTGATTTTCATATTGTGGGTTATTTCTGCTCAGAGCACTTCCTCCCTGGGTAACTGCCCACAGCTACTCCTTTCTCTTTGGTTTCAGGAAGTTTCTCCAGGTCATGTCGTCCCACCACACTTTCTCCTGAGAAAATGGAAAGGGGTTATAAACATGAACTTGGAACAGAGTCCACGATCATAGCGGCTGATGCGCCCACACTGTGACACCAAAGGAGAAACCAAACCAGATGGTTTTCCTGTCCTTTGTCACCGGGGGGAAATCAGGCTGATTCGGAAGCAGGACATGAGTGAACGGAGGAGAGAGGGATGCGTGAGTGTGAGAGACCTTACCTGGCTGTGTGTTCAGCCTACAGGTATTGAGGAATTCGGAGGTGAAGTGGATGTCAACGTCACAGAAAAACAGAAGGACGTTGCCTCCCTTCCAGAAGCGGGCTCCCACATCGAGGCCCTTTCCCCGGGAAAACTCTCCGCTCAGCTGGATGAAGGTGAAGTTCCTGAAGTTGGCAGCTCTAAAAGGGCAGACAGACAAGTCACTCGGGCAGCGGTGCTCCCCGGGCCAGCAGAGTGCCCTGGACAGTCACGACCCAGGGCCATCCACATCTGGCCGTGTTTCTTCTATAACCCTGAGGGCACTGCGACTGTCAAGCAGTTACGGAATGATCCGGACTCACCAGAAATGCATTGGGACTAAAAGTACCAAGAACAAACACCTAGTGACGTTTTAATACCAGTTTGTTTCTTGTTTCTCAGTAACTTTCCCAAATTGCAAACTTTAGTGCCATGATTAATGAATATATTTTTGTGATGGAGAAAACCTGAACCTGTGAAGATGAGGTCAATAAAACTCAGGGCAATCTCCATGCCTTCCAAGCCACCCCAATGAAACCTGGGCCAAGGAATGAAATCCCAGTGGAATGGCCCCACCTAGCATCTTCTCATCGGTGCTCAACTCCAGCAGCCAGGCCTGACGGTCTTGACATAGGCTCATCCCCAAACAGATCTAAACCTGGATTTCTTCCCTACCCACAGGTAAAGCAGCAGATCCTAACAAGGAAAATGACAGACTTGGGTTCAGAGAGTAGGCCTGCCTTCCATCTGGCTCTCCTGTAGCTTAACTCTGTGATCTAGGCAAGCCCGGAACCCCAGTTGCCTCATCTGCAAAGTAGGAATAATAAGACCTTCCTTAACTACGCCACAGTTGTTAGTTAGATAAACACTGCCAAGAGTAGAAGGCACTATGCAAGCATCAGCTCTCGCTGTCATTAGCACAGGCCAGGATTCCCAGGCCCGTGACTGCGAGGCCAAGATGTGTCTTCGCTGGGCTGTTCTCTCCCAGGAACAGCAGAACCTTCTCAAAGGGGACATGTCTTCGGCAGAGTTCTAGGACTTCACTCAGTGCCTAGAGGGATGAGGATTGTCTCCTACGAGACAGAACTAGAGGGCCACTTCTAATCCTATCCCGGCTCCTGGTTCTACCTGTGCAGGTGCCTGGCATTTGGCAACGCCCCCTCTTCCCGCTGACATCACCCTTCTTGTCATACCCTGAGCCCACCCCCATTCCTGGCCTAGCCCCATTCCGCAACCTTTCTCTAATCTTGATGTAGCCAGAACAAGTACAAAAAACCCACTTCCATTTTTCAAAGTGCGTATTTCAAGTAACTATCTTGGGTAAAGGTCAATACAAATATAGTCATAAACTTCTCAAATGCTAAGCTGCACTTGGATCTGGTCATTTAATCGGCGGAACGAGTTCTGCTACCCCTTCTCTGACTTATCTTCTTTCAGATCTGGAGTGAGCTGAGGTTTTTATCTTGGGAATCTGTGGGCTTAACCTTGTCTGAGTCTGATGTCAAACGTGCTTTTCAGATTTGGATCCAGGCAAGAGGCCTGGTGATGGGCAGGCTGGCAGATGAGTCCGGAAACCTGGATCCAGGGCCTACATCCACGCCTGGCCCTCAGAGTACTGAACAGATGTTTCTGAGTAAACGTGTGAACAGATTAATGATCCTAATTCTAGCTCTGCCTCTAATATATCAGGGGTGAGTCACTCCATTTCACTGGCCTGTTTCCTCACTGTACAATCTGATGGTCACAGAGTTCGAAGGCCCGACTGTACTCTAAACTGATTCTTCTTCAGCCTGGCTGGTGTGGCTCAGTGGATGGAGCATCGTCCCATGGACTGAGAGGTCCTGGTTCAATTCCCGGTCAGGGCGCATGGCTGGGTTGCAGGCTCGATCCCCAGTAGGGGGCATGCAGGAGGCAGCCCATCAATGTGTCTCTCTCACATCTATGTTTCTCTCTCCCCCTTCCTCTCTCTCTAAAAAAAATCAATAAAAACATATTTAAAAAAATAAATAAAACCTGTTCTTCTACCTTCTGCGTCCTGTTCAGCACTTCTCACATCCACAGGCACGCTCCTCCTCTTCCAGACTTCACCTCCTCTTTCCTCAGGCTCCGGGCGAGTCCACACTTTCTGTGAGCAGCGCTGAGGTTCTGTTCCACAGCCTCAGGCCTCGGTCTGGCCCTCGGGAAGGTCAGCTACCTCCCTGTCTCCCGAGCTGTCCAGGCGCAGCCGTGTGTCTCCCCGGAGCGCTCTGTGACCCAGCTCCTGTACGGCAGGCTCAGCTCACTCCACCTGCCGTGTGCTCAGTTCCAGAATTTCCCTGGGGAAGTGCCTGGACTTTTGCCTGTTTGTCGAAGGGAGTCTCTCACCGGTCTCACAGGAACCCCACCATCCTAGGACCCGTCTCTCTCTCGACCAGGAGCAGGTCTCCTCTGCTCGTCTCAAGCTTCATGCTCTGAGATGCTCCCGGGCTGCGGGCGAGCTGCAGCTACTCTGCAGAGCAGGGAGGACAACGACTTGCCCAACGCGTGCCCAAGGCGAAGCAGCAAGGCCATCCCACTCCGGGTGTGTCTGACTCACAGTGTGGGGTCCTTCTCCGCCAGGTCTTCCAGGGCCTATCATTTCAATGCTTTATATTTAAACAACAGCACACAACGTTTGCCACAGGAAGAGGGATACAGTTTCCTGATACGCTGTGTTAAAGGAACTGCCCACTTCCTTGAACAGCCTACAGTCCCTTTGTAGAGACATCAAACATTTAGAAAAGTCACGTTGAATACTTACATAAGAATACAAGGCAGCATCAGAAACTGAAGAAACAGCATTAAAGGTATGACAAGCCTGGAGGTGACCCACCATGAGCGCCTGCCAGGGAGACAGCTGAGTGCTCCTCCGTAGCACCCGGAGGGGACAGTGGTCATCTGGTGTACACTTAAGTTAGTCTAGTTCGTTCCATCCAGAAGTTCTCCAAACCGTGGCTTGAGCTGCTCTACTCTGGGGCCACAGGGGGCGGGGAGGGGCGGGGCTGGCCAGTAGTCAGACTCACTGGGAAAGGCGTGGAGAGAACATTGTTTCCAGTGCTTGAGATGACCTTAATTCGGAAGAACTTTTTTAAAAAGTCTTAAAACATCAACCTCTATGCTTCAGTGTGTTGCCTTGAGGGAAAGAGAATTCAGGAAAACAGATGCCGGGGGACCCATAATATGGCCTCATTCAAAAGGCGATCTTCTTCCTTTTCTTTATCAGACCTCCATACAAGGATGAGAAAATCCATGTTATATCGCAGCACTACCCAATCCGAGTGTGCATTTCAAGCCCCCGCTGCAGCATGTCTGTGGGCTGTAGTACAGAAAGCTTCAGGACCAAGCACCCAGCTCTGTCCAGTCACTACCCACACAGAAGCCCCTTTGCCCCAGGGCCGGCGCCCATGTGGCACCAGCAGTCTATACTCCCCACTAAATCCCCATACCCCACCCCATCCTCTGTACACAACCCCACCCAGCCCGGCTCTGCCTGGCTTCCTCATCCACCCTGACCAGCGCTGGCCAGCAGGAGACGTGCACCTTGCTGCCCGCCTGGCAACATGCATGTGTGTGGCTCTGTGATGAAGGCCTAACCAGGGAGCTGGACATCAGTGCTCAGAGGCAGAATAGCAACAGAGTCATCGCTGGCCTGGGAAGCACCATCGGCCAGTCCTGGACACTGAAAAAGGCCTAGGGCTAATTTTAAGTTGTCATCCACCTGTGGTCCCCAGTGTGGCTGCCAGGTCACTGTGCCCAGCCACACACCCATCTGCAGATGAATGATGGCACTATCCTTCCTCCTGATCACTCAACCCCAGCACTATTTTTAATTAACCATTATCGAGAGGAGCCCTTCCTTCTCCTCTTGCCAACAGGAAGGGCCTCGCATCATTAACAAGTGCTCTGTACAAAGAAAGAGGGCTGAGCTGGGAACAGCACAGAAAGAATCAGAACAACTCCACTTCCCTTCTTTCCCAGAACAGAGGATTTGATATGCAATCAGGCACCTGGGCCTGGAAGCGGGACACCCACTTCCCATCTCGAACTCATCGGCACCAGCACCAGAATACAGGATGCAACAGGACAAAGAAACTAGCTTCTGGAAGGCAGTCGAGCCTCTTCCCTCAACATGTCCCATATCTTCACTCAGAAACATTGCTCGCTGGGGAGGGGACTCGCTCACTTGGCCAGAGCACACCCTGCTTAACAGTATTTGAAACAGTGTATTGAGGCAGCCAAGCCATGCAAAGGCAAGGACACATTTCGGTGCAGAACACTGGTTTGCCCCAAAGAAGTCTGGCAGTTGTGGATTTAAAAACGTGTACAACAGAGCCACAAAGCCACACCCCTAAATGCAGACCACAGAGGGGCACAGGGATGCTGTTTCATCTTCTGTCTGTCTGCCCCACAGCAACCAGCCAGAAGATGGTCACTAATGGCATGGACATGGCTGGGGCTTCCTGTCTCTACTTCGTGGGTCCTCCCTGGAATACGTTTTCTCCATCCACTCCAGTGAAAGTGCCACTTAACCTTCACGGCCCATGGTAAGTGTCACTGCCTCTCATGCTTGCTGTAAACTGAAGTCCCTCTCTGGGCTTCTAGGCATTTGGCCCAGTCCTGCCTCTGTCCTCCCGTGCCTAGTGCCTTCATGTGCCCTTGCTTGTGTAGATATATGCACAGGATAACCTCTCAGGCTCCGAGCCTTGGAGGACAGGGACTGCCTTACTTTATTTTTATATCTTCAGAGGTTATCTGACACTGTGCAGTAAGTGGTACACACTGGGACACAGTGAATAATCAATAGACACTAGATTAATCAAGAACTGAATCAATGGGAAACACTGAGGCGCATCTCAAATCCATCACTGTTGGAAGGCACTGCCCCAAAACTCCACCTTCTTCCCTGAGGTGGGCTCTGGAGGAGCCCGTGCAGAAGTGCACCTCTTACTCCGGAAAGTCTTGACCAACAGATTCCAAACAACAGGCACAAACCCAAGTTTTTAATAAGATGACAAATATATAAATAACAGAACAAAAGAGAGCTGAGGAAAATAAGATGCAATCTAGTTTGAAATATGTAATTCACCCATGCAAAAAAATGTAATATTCTGTGGCATGTCTCGCAAGGCATAGACATTTTTTT